AGTGACCTCTGTGTGCTCCTCTTTCCCCAAAAGCTCATGGAGTACTCTCTAACAAAAGTGTATGTGTGAGGCAGCCAGAGTTGAAACAACTGAGGCCATAATGACCTCACATTTATCCTGGAAATCCAGCTGGTTGTAGACATTCTGCAAGCATGGGCTTCGGCAACATAACCCCTCCCACCCCCCCATTGCTGAGGCCCAGGGCAAAAAGTAACTTCCTGCTCCCAAACCAAGGAGAATTTGCATGAGGCTTTGCTTTAGGTCAGTGTGAATGCAAGCTGCTTGGCCCCTGAAATCTTCTTCTTGGTGATCAGAAGTCCTGGATGACTTAAATGCCTGGTTTGTTTGTTTAAAAAATAAAATTAAAAAAAAAACAATGCTGGCATTGGTGGCACAAGACTGTAATCCCAGCACTCAGGAGGCAGAGGCAGGCAGGTCCCTGTGAGCTCGAAGTTCGAGGTCAGCCTGGTCAACAAAGTGAGTTCCAGGACAACCAGGACTATTACACAGAGAAACCCTGTCTTGAAAACAAACAAAACAAAAAAACAGAAAAAACGTATGGCTGCTTAGTACAGTTCCCCCAGGTAGACAAAGTCTTTGTGGACACTGGATCTTCAAAGATGAGAAAGAATCGGGAAAAGCACCATCAAGGCTAGCTCGTGAGGGCTTCTGGGCTAGGGAGTCACAGATGGTTTTGTTTTCTCAGTGCGGCACTCTCGGTATACCAGCAAGGGATGGGCCAAGGTCAGAAGAATGGCAAGCCCCATTGACACCTGGGGAGACAGGAAGGAGAGGCCAGTCTAGTAACTCTGAGCTGCACCTGTCACCAATAGAAAGAATGAAGTCCTCCTTGGTCCATGTTTCCCTCCCAGAGGCCAAGCTGACCTGAAGGACTTGTTTATTTTCATAACTTCATCTTTCTTGAGCTAAATCTCGTGTGCCTCAGGCTGACCTTGAAAGTCTAACCCATCTCCCAAATGCTGGAATTATAGGCATGTACCACCACCACATGTGACTTATTCGGCCCTTTAAATTGAACTCAGGGCCTTGTTCATGCTGAGGAATCACTCTACCAATAAGCCATTTGCCAGTCCTCATTAAGCCCACTTCATGGATGAGGAAACAGTGGCCTAGAGAGCACTCAGTGACCTGAAGCAGGTCACTGAGGAGCTGGGAAGGCATCTGTTAGATTACATCTAAATATTGAGTTAGGTGTCCTGATTTCACAATTGAGGAAATTTCCCTTAGTTTTTAAATGTAGCTTTGTTACTCCTAATGACAGATTTAAACACTTGCATTACACTTTGATCTAAAGAATATATATATTTGTGTGTGTGTGTGTGTGTGTGTGTAAGTCCAAGTGCCATGGAGCACATTCGGAGGTCAGAGGACAACTTGTAGCAGTTGGGTCTCTCCTTCCCCCATGGGGTCCTAGGGATCCAACTGAAGTTGCCAAAGTTGACAGCAAGCACCCTTACCAACTGAGCCATCTTTCCTACCCTGATGATCTCTTTTTAATGAGGCAAGCAGGGTCATGAGACTCCCAAGTGCAGAGACTTCTACATCTGAGCTGTGTGTGACTCTTGAGTATCTGAATTTGTAAGTCATTTAATCTCTTTGATCCCCAATTTCCCCCAAAGCTGGAGAGCTGGGACTACCTTCTAGGGCTGGGCCATTAGCATGCACTGGGTATGGGGTCCAGGGATGAAAGTGTGAATCTCCTGCCCTCAGACAAATGCAGTCTATGCCATAGTCTCCCTAGAAAAGCCAAGGTTGGCCTACACTGACTGAAAGTGGGAGACCCTTTCACTTGAAATTCTGAGAGGATTTTGCATCCCATTCTGGAGTAACATATTTATATACACACTCACAATCAATTATTCTTCTCCAGACCTACGAAAAGCACGGGCTATCTGGGAAGTGGCACCACGTTAATCCTTTGATGATCGTCACCCTAGTTTAAGAAGTGAAACCCTGAATGTTCCTGTTTCTGCACTATGCAAGCCTCTAACACATCCAGGCCTCTTGAGCCAGCTTAGGGTGCCCCCTGCTGGGGCCCTAGGTGGTAGGTCCAGCCTGGGTAGCCATTCTAGTCAAGGGCCCATACACACACACACACACACACACACACACACACACACACACACAAGCACACGCACGCAGGCACACGCCTGTGCACTGAGCAAAAAAAGGTCCTGCATGGTACTCACATAAACGGCGATGTTCTGGGGGGAGAGTTTGAACAAGGGAAACTGCAGCAAAGACACAATAGCTGACAAAGCCATCACCAGCCCAAACAGCTTTCCAAAATGCTCTGAAGGAAAACTAGGGGAAGAAAGAGAGAGGTTTCAGTGAGTTTTACAGCCCCCTGGCTCCAATCCGGGGCCTGGTATTTAAGAGTGTTTATCAGCCAGCTCCCCTATCTTAGGCCTGCCCTTCACTCACCCACACAAGCCCTTCCTTCCCCCACTGAGCTCAGGCCTTCTAACCATAAGACACAGACACTGTAATGGGCTCTGGGAAAAGAGAGGGGACCCAGACCCAGCCTGGGCCTGGGAAGGCATTAAGGAAAAGACAGACTCAGGTGCTGTTGAAGGAAGCAAGAATGGAGTGCCAAGGACACAAAGAAGGGAAAATACCTTTCTAACTCTTCTATGGGAGACTTAGAGCAGAAGGGTACTCGAGGGTGAATAAAAGCTCACCTTGTAGACAGAGACTGTCACTAGACACAAAGGCCCGGGTATATGAATGTCCCATCCTTCCCACTTGTATCAATCTCAAGCCATCGCCCTTTCACATATGCCCTCACCTGGACACCTCCAGGCCCATCCAACTCCACAATGTCTTCACCGCCTGCCCATTCCCCTTTCCCCAAGCTCACTTACGCCAGCGTGAGAAAGGCAGCATTGCACCCATAGAGGAAGGAGCGGCTAATCACTTGCAGGATGAAGGTAGCGTATTGCAGCTGGATGACAGGAATGGAGGCACACAGGATAAAGCCCAGGCACAGCAGAGACGTCAAGGCCAGTGAAGGCACCGTGGAGCAGAGAGCCACAGCCGAGGAGGAGGAACCTGGTTCAGAAAGGAAGATAGGGTATCTGGAGTTGAGCCCAGGGAGAGCAGGAAAAGCCAAGAGAGATCAGAACTATCCAAACAGAACCGGGCCACATCTCAACACCAACTCCTTGATGTTCATAACTCTCCATCGACATGTCAATCGAACGTATCTTCTCTTCCGGGTTCCCTAGGGCTCCCTAACTCACTCACCGATGCAGTGGCCTCTAAACAGACTCCATACCACTCTTGCCCCCTGCCACCCAGAATCATAGATGATGATGATGGCTATTATTATTGTTGTTGTTGCTGTTGTTGCTTATAACACAACTAGTGACAGCAAAGGACTGGGAACAATCTAAACTGTCATCAACAGAGGGACATGGTACCAAGTCCAAGCCAGAAACATGACAGACAGCTGGGCAGCAGTTACAGGAGTGAGGAGGGTCTCAAAATAAAGAAAGTGTCGTAGAAAAGGTAGCTGCACACCAGCAATGTGAACGGTACTCGGCATTTTATCTAAGAAAGGGGGCATGTGCAAACCGATGTGTATGTAGGTGCTTATTGTATTGTAAAGAAAAACAATAAAAATGCTCACCAAAAGAAGGAAATGAAGGAAAACAAGAAGTAGAGAAGGAACTAAACACCCTGTTTCCCAGTTTTAGTTTTGAGGAAATATAAATGCTTAACTTGTAAAATGTTTTCAATAAAATTCAAACAGGAAGAAAGCAAGCAAAGCAATCCCAAAATATCAGAAACAACAAGAACAAATGAGACCAATGTAACTGTGTCCAGTTGGACTCGTGTGTGTATGTGTGTGTGTGCCTGTATGTATGTATGTGTGTGCATGTGTGTGTAAGTGTCCATGTGAATGCTGTGTGTTTGGGGGGGGGTGCAACGCTGCTTTCCTCATGCTGGCGGAAGTGAGCTTGAGGAAAGGGAAGTGGGCTGGCAGTGAAGAAACTGTGGAGTGGGATGGGCCTGAGGTGGCCAGGTAAAGGTATAAGAGGAGGGGATACGGGTGGGAAGGATGGAGCACTCACACACCAGAGTGCCCTTGCATGTGCCTATATGAGTATGTGTGGGATCACTGAAGCCAGAGAGAGAGAGAGAGAGGGAGAGAGAGATTGTGAAAGTGCAGAAATACTCTCTGTGAGAAAGGATGTCATAAAAGCAGAAAGAGATTATTGGGTAAGGAGGAAGGGGACCAGCAGGAAGAAGCAAGGGTCAGTAGGGGGCAGATGGGGCAGTGGGTGAGGGATGAATAAGAATAGTGTATACTAAATGTATGAAATGCCATAATGAAGCCGGCAACACTACATGCTAACTTTAAAAATTAACTTTAAAAAGAATGAGCATACAAGGAAAGAGCGAGCACCCAACCTGAGGTCTCTAAATGCCGTTTCCAACAGAGACCCAAGACTAGTTGGACAAAAGGCCAGTTCCATGTTTGGTGCAGGAACATGTCCAAAGGGACAGACCCAAACCTCTCACTGTACTAGAAGGCAAGGGCACTGTCTAAAGTTAATGTCATGTCTGAGGATCCCAAATGTGAGACTGGTAAAGTTTCTAGTGGGCAAAGATGGGTAAATGTGAGCTTGAAGAATGGCCTGTGAGATGGATGGCTCAGCAGGTAAAGGTGCCTGTCACCAAGCCTGGCGATCATCATTCCATCGCTGGTGGAATGAGCGAAATGAGCCCCACAAGTTGTCCCCTGAACTTCACACACACACACACACACACACACACACACACACACACACACACA